TATATATATATATATATATATATATATATATATACCTGAATAGTATGCCATAAAAGTATTAAGAGATCACCCTCATTTCTTTTTATAGCTCCATAGTCTTTATTATATGGGTATCCCAAAGTTTACTTCATCAGTCCCCTATTGAGAGGCTTCTGGATTGTTTCCAGGTTTTGCTATTACAAAGAATCCTGCAGTGATTTATTTGTGCATAACTTTTTAATTTCCTTTTTTTTATTTTTGCAAGTGTTTCCTTGGGATAACAGAATTGCTAGGTTACCAAAATAGGAAAAAAAAAAAAAAAAAAAAAAAAAACAGAAACAGAATTAGTAGGTCAAAGAATAGGTGCAAATATAGCTTTACTAGATCTTGCCAAATCTCCTTCCACAGAAGATTTATTATTTTTGCACATATGCCAACCCCAGATGCTGAAAGTGCCTTCTTCCCACAGTCATATCAACAAAGCAGATTTTCCAATTTTTTATTTTTGCCTACTTAATAGGTGAGAAATGTGTCTCGATATAGCTATAATTTGTTTATCTTATTAAGAGGAAGATTAAATATATTTTCAAATGATTAAGAGTCTTTCTTTTTCTGTGACTGGCTAATCACATATTTTGCCCACTTAATATGTTTTTCTCCACTTTTAGGAGCCATTTATATTACATTATGAACATTTTATGATAGCTAGGTAATACTTTTTCTAATTCTATTTGTTTTTTATTTTGCTTATCTCTTTTCCATGAAAAAGATTTTATGCAGTTAAATTTACCAGTCTTTTTCTTCTAAATTGAGTCATGATCAGCTAGATGTTTCTCCATTCTTAAGAAATATATGTAAACTTTTATACTATTTTTATGCATCTTTTAGTTATATTTAGCTTCTCAATACATTGGTTATTACAGGGCATAAAGACTCACCCTTCTTACCCCGATTTGACCACCCCGGCCCTTTGAATTTGACCACCCCAGCCCTTTGAATTTCCCACAGGGGCTTCAGAGGTCTTTATCGAGACTGTAATCGAGTCCAAGTCTCTATATGGAGTAAAGAATAAGCCCCAATTTTATTTTTTTCTGTAATTGTATCGGCAATATTTATTAAACAATTTGTATTTTTCCCCACTGATTTGAGCTATCACCTTAATTACATACTAAATTTCCATATGTTCTTAGGTCTATTTCTGTATTTCCTGCCCTGCTCTGTTTGTTCATGTGTTAAAACCACAGTTGAATTATAGAGGTTTTATAACATGTTTTGACATCTCTTGAGGTTACCCCTCCTCTTTGCTGCTTCTATTTTCAGCATATTTCTGTGTGTTCTCATTTGTCTGTTCTTCCACGTGAATTTCACAATCAACTTACCTACTTCTGTAAAAAGTGTGATGTTAATTTCATTTGGTGCTGTGCTTTGAGTTATGATGCCCCTTCCCAAATTCAAGTTGAAACTTAATCTCCAATGCAACGTTATTTGATGTGATTTGGGGAAGGCGATTAAGCCACGTGACCTCTGCTTTGATGATTAGGATTAGCTCTTTATAAAAGGGCCTAAAGTTGGAAGGAGTATGTTCTTGACCTTACATCATGTCCTTCCCAGAGGCCACGGCAATAAGGTGGCATCTGGGAAGGAAGGAGCAGCTTTCATTAGACACCAAATGCTGGTGCCTTGATCTTGGGCTTCCCAGCCTCAAGAACTGTGAGAAAATAAATTTCTGTTGTCTATAAATTATTCAGTTTAATGTATTTTGCTATAGCAACACAAATGGTACCTTAGTAGGTACTTGGGTTACATTAAACTTGTAAATTAACTTATGGGCTGCTATGGTTTGGGTGTGGTTTGAATGTGGCCCCTCCCAAAATTCACATGCTAGAAACTTGGTCCTCAGTTCCTTCTCAATGTGCTGATATCGAAAAGTGCTGGAACCTTCAGGAGTTTGGGCCTAGTACAAGG